AATTTTCCCTGAATTAGGAAAATTTTGACAATAAGGAGATATTCAAAAGGAGAATGGTGCCTCAGAGGACAGTGAACTCTCTTTCATTGGGTGTTTTAAAAGGGAAGTTAGATAGCTGGCTGTCAGAGATGCTTTAACTGTGGATTTCCTGCTTTGGCAGCGAGTAGGACCCGATGAACCAAGGTCTACAGTTCTATGAATCTGGGAACAGACCGGATATAGTTCTAGGGGCAATAGGTGAGCATGCCTTGGCAGTGATGTTTGGGTGGGGAGCTGACTTGGACAGAGATTTCTTAAAAAGTGTGTGTGTCCATTTGGTGCATAATCCCCCTTTTTCCTGAAATAAAACAGTGGCACTGATGAAGGCAAGTAAACAAACAAGCCTCAATGTAACCATAGTCATCAGTTTTGAAATGGCTTCCAAGAATATTCATGTTGACAAGTTTGTGTTTACAGGAATTATTACTAACAAAGGAAGCACCAGCAATGAGAGTGAACAAGGACAGAATAACAGTAGGAAGAATCCTTTTATCTCTTTAGGTTTATTATCTCAAAATTCTGCATAATAGCTATACTTTCTAAGGAAATATTTGGGAGATAAATTTATGGATTCTGCAGCATTCTGGATTAGTGCTGAAAGAGAATAGGGACAGGAATCTGAAGAAATGGAAACCTATGTGGCTGTTTCTTCTCTGCTTGAATGCCAAGTGTAACTTTCCATTCAGAGCCCATTGGGTTCTGCCAAAGTCTACAGGCCCTCAAGTCTCCACAAATACGTCTCTTCTATTAATGTTTCAACTGCATGCCAGAAAAAAAAAATTAGCTCTGAAAAGCCAACAATTCTGTTTGCTGGTTTAGAAATGAAGAGATGTCTAGAAAGTTGTGGGAGAGGCCAGAGCACACCTCTTTTTTAAATTACAAGGAGTGTGCAAGGAGGAGGAGGAGGAGGAGAAGCAGCAGCTGCCCCCGTTACCTCTTGGATAATAAGGTTGATAAGGAACAGTCAAACCTGTGGATTAAATTAGGACTGAAACTGAGGGATTCACATATGCAATCCATGACCAAGTTATTTGTACTAGATACTATCAGAAAATAACTATAAGGCAAGGAGTAAGTGATATATGTAAGTCCTGTCATGAATCGAAAGAAACAATTCAGCATTTCATAGCTGGATACACTAAGCTAACATCAAGCAATTATGCATGCAGATACAACCAAGCTGTAAAGATCATTTTTCAGCAGTTGACTAAACTGTATGGATTGCTCACGTCTTTCCTTCCCTAATATAAATTCCAGTCACTTCTGGATAATCAACAAAGAAGAGCATACTTTCAGATGCTGGAGTTCCATCAACAAGTAACCTCAAAAATACATACAGTACAAAAATTGCAAAATATCAATCTAAAGGCAAGAAATGAAAAGAATATGGCAACAAGATCAGGTTATTCTCCTCTCCGTACTAATTTGAGCAAATGGAATCATTCCACAATCTTTGGTTACCAATTTAAAACATTTGCAAATAGATACTAATTTGTATCTTGAAAAAAAAATCAATGATTTTGCAAACACGTCATCTCACCTAAAAAATATTGGACCTTGACTTTTAATTTTAGGGTTGATCCCTGGATCTAACCCATGCTCCAGCAACAACGAGAAAAAAAAGGATCACATCTGTTGTATAATACTTCACAAATTGACAGTTTTATGACTGATTTCAAAACTATTCCTTGGCATTTCATGCCAGAACTTGGTTCTTTCTGTCTCTCATTGACCTGAACTGCAATTAGGAAATTGGGCCATTTCATACATAACATAGATGCAACCAGGATGTTTCTTGCAATGTATAGCCAGTAGTTAGCTAGCAGCTGAATACCTAATACCTGACACGATGCCTGTATTTGTCACATTCACATTTCAGAGACTGGGAAACACAGAAATGATTGGTGACTGCCTTTTAGGATTTTGGCTACTCCTGATAATTCAAAATAGCTTCATAGCAAAAATTAGCTTGTTGGATAAGACTGTTTCTAGAAGGACATTTCTTAGAACTAACAGTGAAAAAAGGATTTTGTAGCTACAGTATTCTATCTTTGCTGCACTGTTGGATTTTGTTGTTGTTGTTAAGGCAGAGGATTGCATTGAGAAGAAAAAGATAGAAAAACTGTGAGAAACCTGGGAGAGTTAGAAAGAAGAGTTGCTCTCCGAAATCCCTGTTAAATTCCATATTTGAATAAAGACAACTGCACAAGGAAAGCCTTGTCAAGAGTCACTGTATTATTA